AGTTGACTTCATGTTTTGAATGGATGAATCAAACATGATTGTGTAAAGTCGAATCATTGATAAATAGTTTGTTCTTTTCACTATTACCTCAAACATTTTATTCATACTTAACTTCTGTGCTACCAATATAGACCATACTACGGCGTATATGTTGGAGAATATTGATGTGTAAGTATGCTGTAATAGGTTATTTTTATGAAATAATCGCTGACACTTTTTTGTCTTTTATAGAGGAGAAGAAAAGAATAAGAGCAAACCTTTTTTTTTCTTATCAAGACGAAAAATTACTCAGACTCTCATTAGTAATAATAAATGAAATTTTTTCTTGTATAAAAAAAAAGATTTCATTACCGATTACTAAATATTAATTATCTTGTTTATTCTGAAGAAAAGAAAACAAAGATGTATTTCTACTAAGGGTGTCGTATTAGCATTAGTGTTAGCATTAAATTAATGCTAACACCAATATTCTTGTTTTCCGTTCCTAAGAAAAAGTATTTGAATTTGTATTGATTAATATAAGGTTAGACTCAGTCAACAGTCCTGATTAATTCCAATACTTTTGTGTTACAATTTTAATATAAAAGTATTGTAGCTAATATAAATTAATACTATATATGCATTAACTTATTATTAGTCACAATTTTTTATATTAAAATTGTAACACAAAAGTATTGGAATTAATCAGGACTGTTGGCTGCGTCTAACCTTATATTAATCAATACAAATTCAAATACTTTTTCTTAGGAACGGAACGCAAGAATATTGGTGTTAGTATTAAATTAATGCTAATACTAATGCTAATACGACACCCCTAATTTCTACTAAATGAATATCGATCAATTAGCACATGTACATACAAGTAATTTATATTATATCAATAATATTTATATTTAATAAAGTATTTCACCATTTACGTAATTTAAAATTGCTACGTAATGTGTCGTTGTATAAAAGCAAGAATACTTTCCAGTGAATATTTGATATTTGACAGTGCCACTTTTACACAACTGACAGATAATGTTTTGTTACTGTAAATATAAAGAGACGATTGTTGACGTTTCATATAAATGAATAGAAGAAGCAAAACAATCAAAGCTACAATTAACACAAAAATGATAATGATAATAAAATTGTTGACAATTATCATATTTCGATACTTATTGATTATATGCTCGACTGTTTGATCAAATATTGACGACATGTTAATTTTCGTGCCATCGATTATCCATACATGATTGTTGTTTTTAGATAAATTAAAAGTGTACTTCAGAGATTTTAAGAAAAATGATTCCATAGTGAATGAAGATTATGACTTACAAACGGCGAAAGACAATCAATAATGACTGTAAACGAGCTCTTGAACAGTCTATATAATATAACATTATTTATCAACTAATAGTAAACAAAAAATATTGAGTAAGGATATCGTCAAATTTTATCTAAAGTCTTTTTTGACAAAGCAAAATAGAAAAATCACATCACTTTAATAGTTAGACTAAAGGACAACCAAAAAAAGTACTCTACTCAACAAGTTTTTTGTTTTAAATATTGACTAGTAAATGTTACAGTGATTTAAGAGATAAAATTCTTTACAAGCTATCAAAGTTGTTTAAATGTTCTACTATTATTTGTATACTCCTTTTTTAATTGTTCAAAACAAGAGTGGTGACGAACAACAAGCAAATTGTATCTTCACCAATTTAATAAAAATTAACGGTGTACTTTCAACTAGAGTCGAGGACTGCTAACATGATTGAAAAATCTACTTACGATTACAGACGTGCTGCATGTTACACTGATAATAATATCTCGATTTGTTCGTTTAATTACGTACTAATTATTTTCATGATTAATGATATGTGAACTTGTCTGAAGAAATGTTTGTGTGAAGTGATAGAATGTTTCGGGGCTGAGACGTGACAATAGTTGTTCCCTTTGTTATTATTAAAAATGATTGTAAAACGAAAAATTGAGTGCATAGGAGAAAGAAAAGAGAACATGAAGAAGTGAATTTTTTTTTCAGGGATATAATATAAGAAAATTTTTGTCATAGGAAATGAATATATTTTCTCTCTTACATCATTTCCGTTATCTACAGTATATCCATCAATTTTATGTATACTAAAACGATTTCATAGTATAAAACAGTAAGGCAAAATTTAGTTTTTGAACAAATGAATCTTATTTATCTTCATAGTTACTAACAAACGTAGCCATTTTTCGTCTACTTCTGATTGATTATTCTTACTTTTTCTTCATTGACCATTTATTGTTTCGGTTAGTATGTACAAGTCTAGTCTTTAGATTTGCAATATGATTTGGTCGAATGTAGTAACACAATTTACCAATATAATGGCTTATGAGTCCCCCTATGGCACAATATGACTTCGCATAGTCTAAAGAAAATCTATATTGAAAACAGCTTGTAAAAGAGCGTAATTTAATTTTTTCATAATTATTTACGAAATGTGTTTATGACATCTATTTCGTTTATATTATTCGTTTAGATCAACAAATACAGAGCTTTCCAACCTCCTTATCATACCTTTTCAAAATCTTTACAAGTTAAAAAATTAGATTATCACTTATCGTATTCTTAAGAAAAAATGTATGTGAAAATTTGCATATGACAGCTCGAAGTTTTGTTTTCATTATACTTTCATTACATGTTCTAAAATTAAGCGCAAAAACATCGTTATTTACGTATATAGACATTTCACATAATAATTTGTATTTGTAGAGAAAAATTCAGTTTAATTGGTTTGTTTGATTTACGAGGATTCCACAAAGAAATTCATCATTCATTATAAATTATAAGGTTTTTATTGAGATAGTTCTCAAATGTAGAATATGTTAAAGATACGTATGACATTGAAAAAAAATATTTTCATTTGTATAGAATTCTAAAGAGACCATTTAAAGTTTAATAGTGACTAATGATTCAGATATTAAAACTAAAAAATAATATGTTTGTGTAAACGAATCATTAGAAATCTAGTTATGAATAAATGTATAGTGTGCTATTAGATGAGAATATATTTTTTTCTAATAGAAGTTGTGGTTGTTTGAACAATCATCTGTAGATAATGTCAATTACCAAAAGAAACGAGAGATTTGCTATACGAAATCTTTATAAATATTCAACGTCTGACTCTTTGAATAGACCAAATTCGTTGAATATTTTTTCAAACCTCAAATTTTTCCACAGACTACGTCAGACATCTTGGCAATATATTCTTCTCCATCAGAAGCTGTCAGAGACATAGTCACAAAACCGAAATATATTGTGAAATACGAGTATATTTATAACAGTTATCTTTTAACATTCACTGTAATATAATACGATTAGTATCTTTCGTCACGATGTACTAATTCAAAATCTGAAACATGTTACTTAATCTCTTCATTTACAAATCAGAAATTTCATCATGTTTAATATTTTCATTCTACAGAAGTTGCATTCACAGCATCTTTTTATATCCCTCATTAGATTTTTACATAAACAGTTCGATGAAAGACATGCTTAGTTCTAGTGGGTTAAAATCTAAATATTTATTTTATCTAATATGATTCTATTTGAAGATAAAATTGTTTGATATATATCCATAATAAAAATTTGAGTTTATTTCAATTGAGTTAAACGTTGTTTTTGTTGTTCAATTTGAACTCGAATATCATGTGGTAAATCGTCTCCTAACTGTTCATCAAGCCATTTCAATGTTTCTTCAATATCACTTATCCAATAATCTTTTGGTACACTCATTAATTTTTCCCAATTAACAATAAGACCTTGAAGATTAATTGAATCTTTCTTTGGTAAAAAGCCGACTGCTGATGCATCAGCAATATCTTCACCGTTTGTTCGTCGAATAATCCAATCCAATACACGAATATTATCACCTAAAATTAAATAAAATACAAAAAAAAATAAAAGAAAATTAATTTATTAGAATTTTTTACCAAATCCAGGCCAAAGAAATTTATTTTCATCCAAACGAAACCAATTGACATGAAATATTTTTGGTAACTAAAAAATAAAAATAATAAAAGATCAATTCACACAGATCTTTATTTGATTAAAAATGCTTTACTTTATTCTTTGGATTTTTTTCAAAATCAAGCCAATGTTGAATATAATGTCCAAAATTATATCCAACAAATGGTCTAAAATAAACTTTTCAAAAAAAAATGAATTCTTCATATATTTCATTACCTCATTGCAAATGGATCATGCATTATTTGTTTTCCAGTATGTTCAGCAGCTGCTGTTGTTTCCGATTTTAATTGTGAAGCAAGAAATACGCCATGTTTCCAATCAAATGCTTCAATAACTAATGGAACACCTTCTGGTCTTCGTCCACCAAATATAATTGCTGATATAGGTACACCAGCTGGATCTTCCCATTTGTCATGAATAATTGGACATTGTTTTGCTGGACAACAAAATCGTGCATTTGGATGACTAGATTTTTTTGTTTTATCTTCTCCTAATTTATATCTTTCACCAGTCCATGAAATAATTTCAGTACCAGGTTCTGTTTGATCTTCGAGACCTTCCCAATAAAATCTACCATCAACTGTTTCACCAACATTGGTAAATATGGAATTTTTTAAACATGTCAAAAGAGCATTTGGATTTGTTTTCATATTTGTACCACTAGAAAAATAAAATATCAAATCAATGAATAATCATTTTAATTTAATAATAAAACATACGGTGCAACACCAAAAAATCCTGCTTCAGGATTAATAGCTCTTAATTCTCCCGTTTCTTTATCAAATCTCATCCAAGCAATATCATCACCAACACATCGAACTGTATAACCTGGAATTGTTGGTGTTAACATTGCTAAATTTGTTTTTCCACATGCCGATGGAAAAGCAGCAGCAATAAATTTTTCTTCACCTTGAGGACTTGTTACTGACATAATTAACATATGTTCAGCGAACCCTTTTATTTTCAAAAACAAAAAAAAACAATTTTTTTTATTTCAAAATATTCAAATAATTAATAACTACATACATCCTTCATCATATGCAATTCGACCAGCAATACGTAAAGCAAAACATTTTTTACCAAGTAAACTATTTCCACCATAACCAGAACCGTAGCTTATTACTTTTCGAATATCTGGTATATGAACGATCTAAAATAATAATAATCCCTTTCTTGTAGACTGTTCTAATAGTTTCTAGAAATAATCTTAATACTTACAAGAGTTTTCTCTGGATTACATGGCCAATTATTGACTATTTTTCGTGCATGTGGACGAGGACAACCTAAAAATTAATATTCAATTATTCTTATTTTCTAATAAATGTATTCTTCCTTACCCATTGAATGAAGACATTTAACAAATTCTTCATCATGTTTAAGATGTTTCCAGATTTCCGATGAAACACGAGTCATAGTTCTCATTGAAAGTAAGACATAATTTGAATCGGTTATTTGTACACCAATTTTACTTAATGGTGAACCAATTGGTCCCATACTAAAAGAAATCTTTTACAAATAGAATTTCTTCTCTTTTCTTTTTTCTTCTTACCTAAATGGAATAACATAAAGC